CAGAAAGAAAGAAAATCGCTACAAATGTCGGAGCTCTCTCCGGACTGTGCATCAAGCATATTCCCAAAAATAAGCACATTCCAGAGATGAAAAATGATATCGCCCCAACAGACAATTCAGCTTTATTGCCACAGGAAAAAGGAACGCGAAGAAAACAAAAAGAAAATAAAAACATCTTCTAAGGCGTGGGGGAGGGGGAGGAAGGAAAAGTAGTTGAGGAAATTCTTTTACATCTTGGGAGAGACGAGGGGAGCGCGGTGCTTCTGAGTCGGGACTAACTTTTTAAAGACCGATCCTGGTGCTGTTAGCGCCTTTCGCTTAACAGCACGATTACACTGGGCTGTAAAACAAGCGTGTTAAAATGTTAACTGCTACGATCGGTGTCAGGAATAATATACAACGTGTCACGGGCTCCAGCCATCCGCTCGGCTTCGATCCTGCCTCAAACTCGCCTAATAACACTAATAACAAGTCGACTAGTCATTAGCTCTCTCTCTCCCCTGTTCCTGACCCTCAACATGTTCTTACAACTTGTAGGAACACGAGCAAAGTCAATAAGGGAGCCGCGACGGTGGCAGATGACTGAGCACGGGTGCTCCCCCTCTCTTGACAGCACTTGAACCCTCCTGCGGCTCCCGGCCACTTACCCATTCCTCTGAGCGGGACACCTCGAGGCCGGCCCTAAATCCCAACGGATCCCTATGCCCGGGAATCGACTCCCGGCCTTCTGCGCTCCTGGCCGCACTGGCCCCGAGCCTTTCTGATCTCCGCTGAGGAGGGAACAGTAGCGTGAGGAAGAAAAGAACTACAAGGAAATCTACATCCCGACAAGAGAGCCTTGACTTCTGCATTTCAACCTCAGGGCAGCGTGGGCAGGGCCGGGCTGGGCCGGGCCCGTGGCCCACCGCCCCCCCGAGCCCGCCCCTGGGGCGGCCCCACCGCCCAGCCGCCCTCCCAGTGGCCAGGGGAGGTGACGGACAGCGCGGCGGCGGCGGCCCTTCCGCTCCCGCGCAGCGCGCTCGGCACCTGGGCCCGCCGCGCCGGGACGGCGGCTCCGCACCTGCGGCGGTGAGTTGCGCGGAAGCGCCGCCGGCTCGGGGCCGCGCCGAGCGGGGCCGGCGCCGTGGCCGGGCGCTGCTCGGCCGGCGGGGGCCGGCGCCTCGGCAGGCAGCTCCGCGGGGCCGGGGCACGGTCGGTGGGCAAGGCAGCACCGCCCTTTCTGGCCCTTTTCCCGGATAAGCAGCCGGAGAGGGGGCTTCGAGCCTGGCAGAGAGGTTCCCCCTTTCCCCGAATGAAGCAGAGCCATGTCTTGACACACACGCGGTTTGCCCGCTTTGAGTTTGCAGATCGCGAGAGAAATTTCGTGGGTTTGATCGCTTCGTTAACATAAATCACCTTTTCGCTAATCACCTTTTCGCGGGCGGTGTACGAGAAGATCGTGAGCGATGAGAGTTGCGTCATTTTTGGTGAAAATCACCAACCGGTCAGGAAACGAGCTGCAATTTCCCTTGCCTTGGGAGGAGACGGGACGGGGCATGTAGCGCCTGGCGCTGGGATGCTGTGTTCTCCGGCCGCTGCAGACCGGCACCGGGATGCTGGCGCTCGCTGCCCAATGCAGACCGGCCCCGGTTTTGTTTTCAACCCCACGCTAATGTTGCGCCGCGTTTAATCGTGAAATGTCAATGCCTCGCAGCTTTATAAAAGGCACTGATACATATTAGAAATCAAAAGAAAAACAGACAAAGCTGGTAGGAATTAAAGGATGTGTGGGTCACGGTGTGTACGTGGAAGAAATGTTTGGTTTGGCGGTGTACGGATCCCGAGCTGATTTTGTGTGTGCGCGTCTTATGCCCGACGTTACATCATGTTGCACACAGAGATCATGGGCTCTCAGCTCCAGCTGAGGATTTGTCTTGGTTTTTTTTTTTGTTGTTGTTGTTGTTTTTGGTTTTTTCCTGTATTATTCTCCTGAAGTTCTTATTTGTCGTTTATTGCTTTTGTTGTTGTTTTCGCTTTTCCCCCTCAAAGGTACAGACTCTGTAAATTAAATAAAACGTGAAAAGAAATAAGGCGGTGATCCTAGTCCACGAAATATCACCAAGTAAATCACAAAATTTATGTCGCTGGTGTGTATAAACATTGTCTCGATGTTACTTTAATTTAAATGTAAGATATTTTTAGAAAAAAGATTGAGTGAGATTTCAGAGCCTGCACATATCTCAATGAACATTTCTAACTGTGAAGAAATAAGATGTTGCAGAAATTAGAGGCATTTTGTAAACGTTTCGTGGTGAAAAGAAGGTAATCATGGTTCTTTTACAGGTACTTCCATTTGATCGAAATATCGGCGGATACTTGTTTTCTCCATAGGGATTACAAAAAGAAAACAAAAACAACTACAACAAAAAATACACAACCAAAAAACTATAAACAAAACCAAACTAAAAAAAAAAAAACAACAAACCAAACCACCACAACGGGAAATATTCTATGGCAGTTTTGTCGTTACTTCAAAAATACGAGCTGCCCTTTCAGAATATCGCACCTGTAAATTGTGGCGCTTCCTCAATCTAGATAGAATTATCCCTGGTACGGAGAGCGCTCCTCACAGCCGTGCAACTGCCACTGTGCGAAAGCGCTGGTATTTTGAGCAGGCAGTAGTACTAGCAGGCGTTTGCTGAAGCCAGAACCCCTTTCTGTGTTGTGAACTTACCTCCTCTGACTATTTTTAAGGCAGAAAGCATTGAACTAGTGGGACCTGGATATAGCCATAATTAAGTTAATTATGTAATTAAAGAGTGAAAGGGGGTCGGAATCCGTAAAACTTAAGATCCGCTTTAACAGGGTATTTCTTGTGGCAGTGGAGTTTCTTGTCGGAATCCCCGACAAGGCTGCTCGCCCTACAGTGTGTCTTCCGAGCCCGACGGGGCCTGGGCTGCTCGCCGCCCCGGCCACCCCGAACACGCGGGACTCCCATTGCTTTAGTCCGGTCCGGTGGCGTGTGGCCGGGGACCATCTGCCAGCACACGGCCCGACGCCGCCGCTCCTGGAGCCGCTCGGCGCCTCTAAAGCTCCCTCAAGCTTGCTGGGATGCTCAGGCGTGACCCTGCGCTGCTCTCACGCTGCCCGGGCAGTTTTTCTTCCCATCTGTGTCTATTGTGTTCACAGTTGGGTCCTTCTCTTCCCCCTCCACCGTGTCCTCCAACCTGTCTGTTCTCCCTCCTTCCCTCTCCCACCCCTGCACCCTCGAGCCCGCCTCTGATCTCCTGGATATTTTGTTTCTTTCCCTTTCTCAATGTGTGTTCCTGATGTGGTCCTGTCGGAAAAGCTCGTTTACTCTGCTCGAGTCTCCAGTGGTTTAAGGATAATGTTTATCAGAAGTGAACGTGCTCAACTTGTTTCCATTCAACTGCTGAGTGTGGGCTGAAATACCAAAGGTCAGATCTACAGTGAGTCGGTAGAGGGCAGGGGGAGACGAGAGGAATATGAAAACATAATATACAACAGACTGTTGATCGCTTCTGACCTGCCTGGCAAAAAGATTATTTTTTTCAGGTAGGAAATCATTGTAGAATCGGAAAGGAAAGGCAGCAGGGAGGGGAGGGCGGGGGGCGCGGGGTCGAGGCTTTTCCAACCTGGGAAGGGCACGCGTGCCCGGGCAGGGGGCTCGCCCTGAGCAGCCGGCAGCTGCCCCGGCACGCACCCGCGCCCTCACCGCGGGATCCCCGGCCTGACAAAGTACAACGGGGGAAGCTCTCAGAGACTCGAGTCAGTGCCAGACAGGAGCCGGGCTTCCCCTTCCATTCCTTTCCCTCCGTGCCGAGAGAGTGACTGAGCGGTGCCGTCACGCACAGCGGCCGAAGCCGCGGGTACCGGCAGCTGGTGTCTCCCGGGAGTCGCTGCCCTTGTCTGCCGTCTCCCGACACAGCTGCGTCGCAGAGGGGAGCCAGAGGCGCTCCCCTTCCTCTCCCTCCCTCAAACTGTTCCCTCGTCTCCTCTCCTCCACAAAACACACTCGGCGTGAGCTGCCCGCTGCAAATCGCGTGTACGGCTGCAGCAGCCTCTGTGCGCGGCCGGTACCGGCGAGGCGGCGGCTGGCCGTCCCCGGCTGCCCCCGCCCATGAAGGCCTTCTCCGGCGCTTTCCGGGACCGGGCAGGCCTCCAGACCGTGCTCAACCCTCCCGCAGCTGAGAGCAGAGTCCGGACCCTGCGGTATTCCATCTCTCCGGCGAGGCTCCGTTGTGCCGCCGTGCTCACCTCGGCGTGTCCTGCTCCTTCTCAGAGCCGCCTTCATGAGGCCTTTCTGTGCCTCGTTCTGCCCCCCAGATGCCTCCGCTCTCCCCTTGTAGGAATAAACCAGACAAATCCAACGCAGCACACTTCCCCCCCCCCCCCCCCCCCCCCCCCCCCCCCCCCCCCTTCCCGCCCCCCTTCGAAGCTGCAGATTTTTACTGATTTTTTTTTTTTTAAGGGAGGAAAGGAGATTACCTCCTCACCTTCCTCGAGGGGAGTGAGCTACTGTGGTGGTGTTAGGCAGAAGGATGCCGACATGGTAACGTATTTTGTTAGCAGAAGTCCCCCGATCCTTCCCAAAGGACAGTTTCCAGGCCGTGTATGTAGGTGGCCGTATTTTCCCAGGTGGCGTGGGGAAGTCTGAGGGGCAGACGTGGTGCGGCGGCCGGAGCGACTGTCTCAGCTGCCCTGTCTTCCCCGCCCCCAGCTCCTGCCATGCGGCTCAAAGCCACGGAATCCTCCCCCGGAAGCGATGCAGACAGTTTGGTGGGCAAAGAACGTCTTGGAGCCAGAGTCGAGGTGAAGGGATAACGCGGTGTGGGTGTCGGAGGAGATTTTGGGCACCTCTGAAGGTCCGGCAGGGAAAAGCGGGCAGAGGCAGGTGGAAGGTTAGCGACAGCCCAGCTAGAGCCTCGAGTTATGTCCGGAGGTGACCCATCCCGGAGGGAAGGTGCTGTATGAAATTGAGAGGGATGAGACCCACGGAGCTTTGAAAGGGGGCTTTCATTTTGCACAGAGCTATTCCTACACGTGAGCATATAAAATCCCACTGAATCTCCAGGGATCATTCCCGTTTTCTGCGATGAACCAAACGCAGGATGAAGAGGCCTCCACGCATCAGTGGCTGCCATGTGCATTTCCTTATGCCGCAAAATAGCTGAGTGCAGTAGGTTAGCGAGGGCAGCGTGCCTTAGCAGGCAGAGGGAGAGGGCGCGGGGCTGCTCGAGATCCTGGCTGACCTGGCCGCTCACGCTCCCTCTCCGAGCCTGCGAGCCTGAAAATACCCGACTAGACTCCCTGCTCTCCGGTGTGCTGACCCGCCCGGTAGCCTGGGACAAGAGCACATGCACCGGCAAACTCTTGTGCGAAAGAAAAGGGGGATGTTCACAGGGAGACGTCCTTTCCAGC